AATCGGGATGGGAGTGTCAGAGACAGTGCGATTGGCACAGGACAGAGCAGAGTTTAGGGCTGTTGTACATAGGGTCGCTATGAGTCGCAAGCAACTCGACGGCACATAACAACAACAACAACATATATATGTATTCTATATTGTGTACATATAACAACAACAACAACAACATAAAGAGAGCTACCAATACCATGGGTGATTTTAATCTGCAGCACTCAGGCCTGGTTTTTATTTGTTTTGGTCAAACATTCTTCTAAGTGATATAGCTCTGGTCTGTCCATTTGCTGTACAAAGGTGACTCATCGTTGCTTTGATGCTAAACACTATGACCCTGATATGTCAAATGCAATAATGATTACCCATGGTGGGCAGTGTTTGGTGGAGCTCTCCAATAAAAAGTAGCTTGGAAGAAGGAGTGGCATCCACTTCTGACATAGCTTACCCCCAGAAACTCTATGAACGTGGAGAAACGATCAAAGTTATACAAGTATTCATGTCTTTGTTTCATAGGATTGCTATGAGTCATCTATGACTCGACAGCACCTAACAACAACAACGAATATTGTGTATATATGTATTATATGCATATCATTATATATTGTATAATATATAATATTATACATGCAATACTCTATATAATACACACACACTCACACTAGTATTCTGGAATACATTCACAGTCACTGAAGTGTATGGTCAAATGCATACTGAGACTAAAATTATATGCCACCACCTCCTAGCATTTTGCTTTATAAATTTTTCAATTAGTAACAGCTGTCAAGACAAGAGCTTATGTGAATTTATGTCTCAAGATATACAGTTATTTAAAAATCATTAAAAAATTTAAATTCTCTATGTGTTTTATTGGTAAAACCTGCTCATTTGAAATGACAATGGTGTTTCTTTGAATTCTATAAGTCCTTTTAATTTAATTGCTTTAGATAAGATCTCTTATTTCAGTACTAACATGCAAATTAATCATGAAAAAGTTTGAAAAAACCTATTGTGTGGTCTCGAGGAGCTCTGGTGGCATGCTCTGAGGGAGCTGTGCTGCTAACTCAAAGGAGGGCCAACGCAAAGGCCAACGCAAAGGCCAACGCAAAGGCCATGCTTCTCCGGCAGCTCGGATCCACCAGCTGCTCAGCAGGAGAAAGATGGGCAAACTCCTGTGAGTTTTACAGCCTCTTGAAAACAGGCTGGTGGGTCAGCTAGCAGTCGGTTCTGACTTGATAGCAATGAGAGATAGCTATTACGTGATCTCACTTCGGAGACCACATACAAGGGCCATAGAAAAGGTAAAACATATTGCTGGTATGAAACACAGGAACTATGACTACCTCATGTTATTTCACCAGGAACTCTCAAGCCACTGCCTTATGGACAGTGAACATTCTAAAATTCTTTCATTCTGAATGAAAGTATTTATAAACTACCATATGTGCTCACAGACAGATATATATATATATATTTTTTTTTAAATTACAAAAAAAAAACCCCACCCAAAACATAAGAACTAAAAAATCCCTCACAAACTCATTGTTGTGGAGTTGGACTTAGATAGGGTATTATGAGCTTGTCACGATGTTAAAGGATGGTCAAGGCTCAGATTATTATGCACAGGGTTGCTGTGAGTCACAGTCTACCTGACAATAACAATAAGGTCTGATCTGTTAATTATTTATTATTCTAATTATTTTGCTTTGTTTTAAAAAATCATGTCCTGTTACATTTAATGACCAAACAGTAGTAAAAAAAAAAAAAAAAAGAGATCACTTACAATTTTAAACACAGCGATTTTGTACAGTTACAGGGCTTTCTTGGCCGACTGGCAGACTCCGATGGGATTATGCTATACAGACACACAAATAAAAGTGAAACATTAATTACTACAACCATTGAAAACAGAAAAGTTTCCAATCTGTAAATTCCTATTATAAAACAAAACTTTAGAAAAACCACACATCTCTAGTAAGTTTGTTATACTATTTCATTAACATAAACTTCACAGAGATGTTGTGACAATGAAGAGGTAGTAAACATAGCAATATTAAGCGCTTCCAAAGAGTATTCTACAAATATTCTTCATTTTGAATGAATAAATATGAAATATCCCCAAAACTTCTGGAACTTAATTTTAAAAGATAATGAGAGGTGCAGATGGGAAGAAGTTGTAAAGTGGAGTAAGGCTAATCCCATGAAATTAACTAAATGCTGATTCTAAAAAAAAAAAAAATTTTTTAAAAAAAAAAAAAAAAAAAAAAAAAAAAAAAAAAAAAAAAAAGCAAAGACCTAACAAAGCAATTTTATTGTATTGTTTCTGTGAGTCTATAATATTTAAAATTAGCATGCTCACATGGCTTTGGTGGGGGCATCAAATAAGAGGCATTTTAAAACACATATATATTATGTTTACTTATACAAAAACTTAGCATGCTTTCAACATACCCATTGAATGGAAGTCTTGCCTGGGTCTGGATACCAGATGTTCCAGTGAAGTTGGAGTTGCTTGCTATAGACACGTAGGATGACTGCTGCAGCTACATGTAAAGGAAGACAATTTGAGACTACATTTGCAAAAATAAGCAATACTCTCAGTAAGAGGCACAAATCTGTCTACTGAACTATGGAGACAAAAAATCTCTTACAAACAGATTATCTCAAAGAGCACTTTTAAAGACCCAAACAACAAGGCGTAGAGGTGAAAAAGAATGAGCATTTTAAAGTACTACATGATTCAGATGTAAGAAATCATTTCACAATCTATCAGAACTCTAAGTTTAGATATATGCCCAGAACATACTGAAATAACTTTCATTAGCTAGAAAAAGGCATGAAACCGACTTATAAAAAGTATGATGTTGATCATTCACATTAAAATTCACTGACAATTAAAAGCTGTACATGCAGTAATTTCCTATTTTACAATAGGTTTTAAGCAAAAGAAAGACGTTAATGATAAAGATATAGAACATTAATTTTCTTTATCAATAATTCTAAATCATACTTAGAGATGCTGTAGGCAAAATCCTGAATGATCCCAGAAACATCAAAAGAAGATGGAAGGAGAGGATAACATTGATGAATGAGACCTTCTAACGACTAAATCCATGTGTGCGTCAAAACCTACAGACTGGGGAGCTCTGGTGGCCTAGTGGCAAGGAGCTTTAACTACAATCCCAGAGGGGCATGGTTCAAATCCACCCGATGCTCTGCCGGGGAAGGAGGGACAATCTCCTCCTGTACCAGTCAGATCTGATTTGATGGTACACTCACACAAAAATAATAAAATAAAAATTAAAAAAAAAAAACAAACAACAAAATACAAAAACAAAAACCCTACAGACTGGGAACAAACATTTGGTAATAACACCTCAGACAAGAGTCTCATAACTAACGTTTACAGAACACTCCTGGGCCTCTACAAGAAAAAGACTGATAACCCAACGGGCAAAAGATATGGTAAGAATCTCCACAAAGGAAGATATCTGAATGGCAAACAGACAAATGAAGAAATACTCCAAATCACTGGCAATATGAGAGATTAAAATCAAAACCATAATGAGGTACCATCTCACTCCAGTAACAGTGGCAAAGTTTAACAGAGCAGCAAGTAATAAATGTTGGAGAGGACTGGAGAGAAAGGAACTCTTATAAATTGTTGGTGGGATTGTAAAATGGTATAACCACTCTGGAAGGCAGTTTGGCACTTCTGAACACAGACATTCCAGATGACCCAGCTATTTCACTACTTGGCATATACCCCGAGAAAATGAGAACTGAGGCACAAACAGAGATTTGTACACCAATGTTCACAGCTGCATTATTCACCATCGCGAGAACATGGAAATAGCCCAGACATCCAACCACAAACGAATGGCTTCAGAAATTATGTTACAGTCACACAATGAAATACCAGGCAGGAGCAATGATTTTGTAAATTATTACCTAACTTGGGCTGGAGAGCATTATGCGAAGGACAAATATTACATAAAATCATTATTGCAGAATGAGTATAAGGATTCAAGGGGGGGATAGAGAGGATAGAAGCAGAGGGATGAGGATGTGTGAGGGGAGGGGAGATTAATCATGAAGTTGTACAATTTGATGGGTGGGAGAAATTGGAAGAATCTGTTCTTGAAAACAATGTACTTGAATTTTGTAAATAAACTATTATTATTTACCAGAGAGAACTGACACGGAAAAATTTCAAGAAGTACCATGTGATCAGGAGGCAATGGTAACGAAGAAGTGGAATCTGCATTGAAGGCACTGGCAAAAAGCAAGGCCTCAGGAATCAATAAAATACCAATTAACTTGTTTTAATTAATAGATGCAGCCTTGAACACACTCACTAGTCCATGTCTGAAAATCTGGAGAACAGCTGCTTGGACCACAGATTGGAAGAGGTCCATATTTGTTCCCATCCTCAAGAAAGGTGATCCAACAGAATGTGAACACTATCAAACAATATCATTAATATCACATGAAAGCAGAATTCTGTTGAAGATCATTCAAAAACAGCTAGAATAGTACATGGAGAACTCCTAGACATTTAAGGTGAATTTAGAAGAGGCTGTGGCACTAGGGATATCATGGCTGATGTAGGAAACATCCTAGCTAAAAGCAGAGAATACCAGAAGAATGTATGTCTGTGCTTTATTGACAGTGCAAAAGCATCTGACTATGTGGACCCTAACAAACTGTGGCTAACATTGAGAAGAATAGGAATCCCAGAATACTTGTGCTCAAATGATACCTATACCTAGATCAAGAGGTTACTGTGTGAACAGAGCACGGAAACATTATACGGTTTAAAATTAGGAAAATTTGTGTGTCAGGGTTGTGTTCAATTTTCATACCTATTCAATGTTGATGCTGAGCAAATTATTCGAGAAGCTAGACTCTATGAAGAAGAATGTGGCATCAGGATTGAAGGATTCATTAATAACCTCCGTTATGTACATGACAAAACCTTGCTTACTGAAAATGAGGAGGACAAGAAGTGCTTGCTGCAGAAGATCAAATGATTGCATCTTAATGTCATAAAACCAAAAATCCTAGTACTGGACTGAAAGGCAACATCACATTAGATGAAGAATAGTTTGAAACTATCAACGACTTCATCTTACTTGAATCCACAATCAATATACTTGGTACCAGCAGTTTGGAGATTAGAAGATGTATTGCACTGGGAAAGTGTGAAATCAAGGATCTTTCCCATTTTTTAGGAGCAGTGATGTCAGATTGAGGACTAAGGTGTGCCTGATACAGGCCATGATCTTTTCAATCACTTGCTGTGCATCTGGGAGCTGGACAATAAAAAAAGATGACAGAAGAACTGATGTTTTTGAACTGTGGTATTGGAGAAGAATACTGACTATTCATCCCATGGACTTCCAAAAGAACAGATAGGTCATAAAGAAGATGTAGCCCAAGTATTCCCTTGACGACAAAGATGATAAAGCTTTATCTCATATACTCTGGGCATAGTGCTAGGATAGGCTATTCCTTGCAGAGGGACATTATGCTTGGGAAGGTGGAGGGATGACAAGGGAGAGGAAGACCCTCAACCAGATGGACTGACACAGTGATTGAAGCAAGGAGCTTGGGTGTGACAGACTGTGAGGCTGGCATATGGCATGGTGGGATTCAGAGCTATTGTTCATAGGGTCATATTTGACCCGACAGCACCTAACAACAGCATATCAAACTAAAAAATAATATTTATTTATATTTCAATAAAATATACAAATTAGTTGTTTCACTCTTTTGTAATCTAACATCAATATGCTCAGAGCATAGTGCTGATCCTTTCATAAAAAGGGAAACTTCTGTTTCTGAGCATCAGTATTCTAAAACCCAAGCCAGCCTACTGGATTATCTATGGCCTGGACTCTAAAGATGACCAGATGAGGATCATGGACAGAGCAGTGAAGCTATTTTACCTGGAAATGCATCAGACAGAGGGAGAGACTCATAGTCACACTCTTTTCTAAACTCTTTTTGACTCTGTGGATTTCAACATTAACCTATTTTCTCTTAAGCCTATATAATCTTGCCCTTTCTACCAAGCTATTCTTAGCTTCAAATTATCTGACATACATTTGACTTTTGCTGTATATTTCTAAATGCTAAAAATACACAGAACTTTTAGTTAACTCTGCAAGTTTTATATTTTCATATACTAAGATGCTTTTTTAAAAAAGAAATTTTATTATTATTATTTTATTATTTTGTGCGTATATACCGTCAAGTCGGATCTGACTGGTATAGGAGGAGACTGTCCCTCCTTCAGCAGAGCATCTAGTGGATTCAAACTGTGTAACTCTGGAATCGCGGTGCAGTTTCTTGTCACTAGGCCACCAGCGCTCCCATAAATTTTATTATTTTGTATGTGTGTGTACCATCAAATTGGATCTGACTGGTACTGGAGGGGATTGTCCCTCCTTCTCCAGCAGAGCATCTGGTGGATTTGAACCGCACTCCCCTGGGATTGCAGTGCAGCCACCAGAACTCTCTATTAAGATGCATTTTTTGAGTAGGTTCAGAATATGATTTCTTAGGATCACGGGATGACAGAAATGGTTACATTCTTGACCTCTAAGTGTAAAGCCGGCAGTTCAAACCCACCTCTTGTATGAGAGGCCTAGCAAGCTGCTCCCCAGAAATTCATATCCTTGAAAAATCATATGGATCACAATTCTGTAACATATGGAGTCTCCATAAATCAGCATCAACTCAATGGCAACTGGTTTGTTTTCTTTTTAATATAAAGACTTCCAGAATTAGCCTTTTAATCAAAGATCCTTCTTAATTATTCTTTCTGAAATGGTATGACTTCACTCCCCCCACATACCTGAGTAACATACTGAGCTGGAAGGACTGCGTAGCCCACATTCCCTGTTCCCGGAGCTGGTGCTAGGACGGTGCCTGGTGGAAGGTTGGTGAGGTTTGGCTGGATTTGTGGCAGTGGTGTGGCAGGCATAATAAGTCGCTGCTGTGGCTGGCTAGTCGTAACTATTTGTGAAGTTGGATTGATCGGTTTTGGAACAACCTAAAAAGAAAGGGAATAAATTAGTGATTCCATTTTACAACTGCTCAATTCAGCATAGGGAGCTCTGGTGACCTAGACCATAAAGAGTTGCACTGTTACCCTAAAGGCCACTCCTCTCAAGACAGTTTGAATCCACTAACTGCGCTGAGGAAGAAATATGGGCAATCTCCTCCTGAAATCTATAACCTTGGAAAACCTGCTAGAAGATCAGCTCTGAGTCAGTTCTGATTTTACAGCTATGAGTTTGAGTTTTTTGAGTTTTGATTCAGTATAAATCTATCTAAACATGAATTTCTGTTTTTAAAAGGAAGACAAATAATACTTACTTGTTTGACAGTTTGTGCTGGGACAATTGGAACTGACATCCGCACTGGCGTTGCATTAACCACCACTGGTTTTGCTTAAAAAAAGAGGGAGAGAAAAGCTCTATGAAAATTTCCAACAGATATCGAGGAAAAGTTATAATCCTTAGGAAACTGTAATACGTAAAACATTTATCTATTTACCTATGAGAAAACACAATATTTACAGAAGACAGTATTTCAAATCTTAAGACTGCTTTATCTTCCAGCAAGTTATCCTCATAAAAGAGCTTACAGAATTTTATTGATTTATTCTTTCGTGTAGTATTCAACTGGGACTGTTACCTTCCAAAATGTCTTAACCAATATAACAGGGATCATAACTAATATAACTACAGCTATTTAATTAAAGAGGGATTATCTGTATGTTTAAGACATACTATTTAAAGTTTTCTTATGTTAATGATAAAGACACAGAACATTCATTTTCTTTATCAATAATTCTAGATCATACTTAGAGATGCTGCAGGCAAAATCCTGAATGATCCCGGAAACATCAAAAGATAGGAGGATAACACTGATGAATGAGATCTTCTAAAGACTAAATCCATGTGTGCATCAAAACCTACAGACTGGGGAGTTCACTATTAAATCTAGTCAAGTGCAAAGTTGTATAAAGAAAAGGACTGTCATTCATGAACTGTTACCTTAACACCATTCTATACTATTTCTAATTGTTGTGTCTCTATTTAAAGCAAAAACAGATCTCTATTATTCTAAATTCAATATTTTTAAGAATCACAAAAAGGAAGTACAGCATAAAGGTTAAGAATATAGGCTCTGAAGCTATAAAACCTGGGGGGTTTACATTCCAGTCTGCAAGTCTTTCTAACTACTTAAATTGTCTTTGCCTATTTCTTCTCTACAGTATGGGGATGATAATATCTACCTTACAGAGAAAGTGTTTTAATTCAGGAAAATCAACTTAAGCAATGCCTAACAAGTAAATGCTAGTTGACCTTACTGTTTTACATACACATAGGTCATTGTGATGTCACTTCAGTGAACTGCAAAACAAGACACCTGTCCTTAAGCAGATGCCAATCTAGTAGGGTACATTAGGCAATGACCCAAATAAAATAAATAACATTAAGGAAGATAACAAAGTGAATAGGAACCCAGAGGAGAAAACATACATCTGAGAGGCCCAGAGGATGGGTTCTGTAAAGAGTGCATGGAGGATACTCTCTGAGAAGAGTTCTGATAAAGAAGCAGGCCAAAGAGCAAGCACACGTACTGGAGGAGTGCATCCCAAGCAGAGTCAGAAACATGTAAGGTGGGAACTTGATTCAGGGAAACAGCAAGACATATTCATGAAACACTGATGAATTGACCAGTTTCACTGGAACTGAGTGTTAAGAAGACACAGTGAAGGGACATATTGTAGTCATTTTGTCAGGTACTCCAAATGTTTGGGTAAAAATCTATATTTTTAATTTAGCAGGGAATGAGAAGTTTCTAAAGGTTTTTAAGTATAGATATATTATTAGAACAGCATGGAAAGAAAGAATATTTGTCAGCAGTGTATAAATCAGAATGGTGCTGTGAGAAACTAGACAAGTCAAAAGAGTGTCTGTCATGTAAGTGTGGAGGAAAAATAAGGAGCCAATCTGAAGAAATAGCAAGACAAGTGAAAAGGAGGGAGCAGATGCAACAACACAATGGAGGTAAAGGGAATCTGACTTACCAACCAACTGGATGGCAAACATGAAAGTATAATGAGGGGAAACTTAAGTCACGAGCTTTCAAGTGACGGGGGAAATGGCAGTTATTAAGATGGGGAAAATCCAGGAATGAGCCAATTTGAGGAGAAGGTGAGGGCTGACCTGGAGAATTGACACAGTAGAATTCAGGAGAGCAGTTGGCACTAGACTTATGTTTAGACCAAAAGAATTACCTTTTTTTTTTTACACTGCCTGTAGTCATTTCCCAAGTATAAGGGAGAGATTATTTCATTTCATTTGCATCTTAACACCCATGGAAGTAGCTTTCAAGAAATAAAATGATATATTGGATTGGACAAATCTCTAGCAAAAGACTTCTTTATACTATTAAAAAGTTAAAATGCCATTTTGAGGACAAAGGTACACCAGGTCCAAACCATGGTCTTTTCAAGCACCTCAGATGCATGTGAAAGCTGGACAATAAATAAGGAAGTCTCAAGAAGAACTGGTGCCTTTGAATGATGGCGTTGATGAAGAATGATGACTATACCATGAACTGCTGGAAGAATGAATAAATCTACTTTATTCATTCAATACAGCCTGAATGTTCCTTAGAAGGAAGGATGGTAAAACTTCATCTCATGTATCTTATCAGGCAGGGCCAATTCTTAGGATAGAACATTATGACTGATAAAGCAGAGGGGTCAGCGGAACATGGGAAGACCTTCCAAGAGATGGTCTGACACAGAGGCTGCAAGCAGTGTGCTTAAGCATAGCCATGACTGTGAGAACGGGCCAGGCAGCATTTTCTTCTGTTGTACACAGGGTCACAAAGTCAGAAGTGAATGCACCTACCCAACAGAGAAGGATCTGAAAAGGTAGTGAGGACATCTCTTATCTGTGTCTCTATTTATGCAAAGGGAAGGCTAGAGCCTAGTCTAAAAGAGAGGCTGACATAATGAGAGCTAAGGCTACTCTGAATAAAAGAATTAGAATAAACTTTTTTGGAGGAAAGTGACTGCTACATATTACTACCTGTTTTTTCTTTTCCCCATTTTGGTGGCAATGGAAGTGATGATGGCTGGAGAGAAAATGCTAGGAATCCTGGAAGAGAACAGAGTATCAGGGTATTCTGATCTGAAAGGGAACAAGTCCCTGCAGCAAGCCAACAAGAAGCTTGTGGTGGGAGGGAGAAAGTGGCCTACCTCTAGAAAAAAGACAAGATGAGCTAGTGGTGATGTTTGCACAACTCTGTAAATATACTAAAAACCACTGACCTGCATTCTGAAACAGTAAATTTTATGATAACTGGATTATATTTCAATAAAGTTGTTATTAAAAAGTACTTGCATATAACCTACACATAACTCCTGTATACTTGAAATCATTTCTATATTACTTTTAATATCTAGTACAGTAAGTATGTTATATAAACAGCACTTTCTGCTTCCTCTTAGCTTTTGAGGAATTGCTTTAACCATTTAATTGCTTTTTATGTGTCATTTTGTTCACAGAAGCAAAGGGTGTCTATGAGTATCAAAATGAACAAGACACAAGGTGAATGATGTCCAAACAATGACTGCTTAAGAGACTGAGGACTTGTAAAATGGCAGCAAACTACAACACAGTACACATGACTTCATTTGCTCCATTCAGTGCTCAGCATACAGTAAATTCAAGTTTTGTTTTTTGGAACTTCCTGAGAAAATCGGTTTTCTCAAATATGTCTATCTATAGTTACTGGAATCACACATGCAGAATCCATGGGCATAAGGGCTAACTTTGTAAGGTCATGGGTCAGGGATAAGTGATATCAGATTTGAAATTATTTCCAACTTGATTATGATTTTCCTTTTACTTTCAAGCTTTAATCATATTACATTTATTAGCCACTATTGGCTGGTCTTAGCATTATGTTAAACAGTTAAAAGTTGAGCCTGAATTCATGCTGAGGCAGAAGAGAATGCACTGACTCCCTGCTTCTTGGAAGGGATATGGTAATCATCCTTTATACACAATTGAGAGCGCACGCGCGCGCGCACACACACACACACACACACACGCACGCACGCACACATAAACACACACACAGAGCCCATAGTGCAGTAAATTACTTAACATGTCCTTATAAGCCACACTCTTTGTGACTTCCACACAATGACAGGGTGGAGTCATGCAAATAAAAGGTATAGATGTTACAGACCTTGTTATGGCTTAAGTTCTGTGCCAACTTGGTTAGGCCACCATTCTCAGTTTTGGCTATACTCAATTTGGTAATTTGGTATCATTCTCTTCCATTGTGTACACTAGGAATCTTGACATCTATGTGTTAATAAGTTAAGATTAGGTTCTTTCTGTAAGAAGTAGGTTGTTTGACATTTTAATGCACTCAGGTCACTACAATGACACAAGTTACTATCCCCTTGTTTGAGTCATATCCTTTATCTTAGATAAAAGGCGAGAGGAGTGACCACCAAGAAAGAAGCTCAAGAACCAAAGCCTCTATTTTGCATCCAGGATCCCTGTGCTGAGAAACTCCTAGACTCAAGAGACACGGAGAGAATTCTAACACTAGACATGAAGAGGAACATCAAAAAGCAATGAGAGAAACAGCTACAGTAGAAGAATCAACACAGCCAAGAGACTGGCAGGATACAGAGGGTCAGGTGTACATGCCCATGAGTTTGTAGGTTCAGTGACATCTATACCTGAACAGTGGGCCTCTTGACCCAAGGAGCAAGAATGATGGAAGCCTTTACTCCTGAGATTTTCCTGGCTGAGTGCTTCTGGTCACTTACTGGCAGAGCTAAACCAGTTTTATAACACCTGTCCAAACAGAACAGTGGCTGGGCAAATGCGCCAAGGCATCAAAGAGAGGGCTGCCTGTGAGCATGGCTGAGAAGAGATGTATCCTGGTTCATTCTGGATCCTGAATAGGAACTTTTCACTTCCCTAGTAAAATGCATAATCATGAACACTGGATTATCTATGTAACTAATGCAAGGAATTACTGAACCCAGCAGAGAAAGAGAGACTGTCATGGGAGGAAGGGCTATGTCATAACTGGTAAAAAGGTTGGAGAGAGAAGGTATGTCAACCTTATAATACATAAAAATTTCCTTCGGCTGTTAATCTTGATTCCCTTTCCCCTTTGTGAAGTTAAAAGAAATCGGATCCCCTACCATGTTGTATTTACAGAAAGAAATCACCAAGGAATGTGAGAACTTTCTGGTCATACTCAGAAACAATGACCACCAACAGAAAGAACTAAGAAACCATCTATACAACATGGAAAAAACCCCAAACCTTGGAGGATTAATAGACATTAGGAAAGAGAAGGGCGCAAAAAGAAGTAAGAAATAAGCTACAAAACAAAAGGTGTAAGGAAGCTCTGGTGGCCTAGTGGCAAAGAAGCTGTGCTACAAAACCGAAGGTCCACGATTTGAATCCACCAGATGCTCCGCTAAAGGAGGAGGGGCAATCTCTTCCTGTGCCAGTTGGATCCAATTCGAGGGTACAAAAAACCAAAATGAAAGGTATACACAGAATGTGGATAGCTCATATAGTGAGAAAACACTGAACCATAAAAAGAAATCAGATGACACATCATTGAGGCACCTTCAGGAAAAAGAAAAGAAAGTTGAAGGAATATGACTTGCTCTCAGTCACATCAAATAATGGATCCATGATTCTTATTTGGTTGAGAAAGAAATAGCCCTTTCCTTCCTTCTCTCTCTTAGAGAGAGAGAGAGAGAGAGAGAGAGAGAGAGAGAGAGAGAGAGAGACACACACACACACACACACACACACATGCACGCAGAGAGATAGAGACATAGAGAAACCTGAAACTCCCTGGGTTTACATAACTTTGGCATCTGTGAGCAGAGTTATAAAGAAATCTGAGACATGGAGAAAACATGAAATGGTCAAAGAAGAGACACTAAAGAGGGAGCACTGCGGTGTCCTATTGATATTTATAACCAAGTCAAAGACTTATTTTTCCTCCTTTCCTTAGAGAACATTCCCACATTACTAACTAGGGCAGTTTTCCTAGAAGTTGGCCTCATCTCTTCTTTTTGGGTTGTCAGCAGTTTTCAGAAGAGGAATTCTGCACAATGCTTTTGGAATGGTCTCCTCCTAAGCTTTAGAAACTGTATCTATAAGAGTTTGAGGGGATTTAATTTTCTCAAATTTATTCTCTTCCTCAGTAAGAATTGCCTCTGAAGAATTGCTTCTGATCGCTATGGAATCAGAATTCACAGCTGACCATCCAGGGGGTTTTTAGTCACAAGGGAAGAGACTGCCCATCCTTCTCCCATGGAGCAACTAGTGGATGTGAATCACATGCCACTGTGTTTGCAGTGCATCTGCTTAGCCACTAGACCATCAGAATTCCCTCAGTAGGATAGAGCAGAAGATTATATATTAAAAAGGTCAACCAAGAACTCTCCTGGGCCCTAGTGTTTGGGCAAGCTACCAAAATCAACAATTAACATAAAATAGAATCTGTTAGAATTGTTTTTTGGGGAAGAATATGGAACACATATTTACTAACATTCTGTTTCTTTCATAATTTTTCCATTTTCTCTTTTCAGTAGTTGTTTGTTTGTTTGTTTTTAAAGAATGAGATGAGATGGGATTGTTGTTCTAAATTTTCCCTGAGATGAGCTAGATATCAGTACCAAGTCCCTCAACTCCTAATGAAAACAAAAAAGGAACCAACTCTCTTCTTTTCTTTACTTCCAGTAAAAGATAAATCATTCACGTGCCATCACCTGAATTTGGCAATAATGGAATAGACAGCAGTCTCCCAAGGGCAAATTTATGGCCTAACCAATAAATTACCAGGCTCCGAAAGCATCTTGAGTCTTTTACCCTACTGGTTTTAAAAATGATAAACAAAGCAAACTGGGGGGGGGGGGGGGGGAGTAGTGGTGGACCGGGAGGAAAGTAAGCAACAATGAATGAATGGGGGAAAAGAAAATATTTTTAAAAAGGTAGAAAAACATGGAGAAAGGTTATGTGTTGTGTGTGTCTGTATGCTAGGAGGCAGGTTGGATTAAGCATAACACAAATGGTAGGGCTATTTTGTACCAGAAAAAGGAAGATCCACTAGGAAAAAAGGGGCAACGGAGCAAAACAAGATGTTTTAATTACCTTCTATAAGTACTTATAGATTAAAAATAAGTAAAGGAAGAACTTGATATAAAGTTCCTAAATAAGGACTCTTATATCTTTGACTATTTTGCATTTCAGCTGACCAAAACTCTGTAAGAGGCTTCATAGTTTACAAAAGAGTAATAATTTGGTTCCAGGGAGCTGTGATGGCCTAGTGGCAAGAAGCTGTGCTGCAATGCCAAAGGTATAATTCAAATCCATCAGATGCTCTGCTGGATTAAAGGAGGGGCAATCTCCTGGGCCAGCTAGATCCAACTTGAAGGTACACAATAAAGGGGGGGAGGGAAACTTGGTTCCATCTAAACCTATTGCCAGCTAAGATCACCAGCATAAAAAACTGGATGTTTCAAATAAACAGTGCTTGCTGCAGAAGGTCAAGGACTGCAACCTTCAATATGGATTGAGGCTCAATATCAAGAAGACAAAGATTCTCACCACTGGGCAAACTGGTAATATCAGGATGTGGTGAAGAGATTGAGACTGTTAACAGCTTTAGTTTGCTTGGTGCCCCGGTCAACCTTCTTGGCACCAGCAGCCAGGAAATGAAAAGACGTATCGTGATGGGAAAGTCTGCTGTTAGGGACCTCTCCAGGGTACTGAAGAGCAATAGTGTCACTCTGGAGACTAAGGTGTGTCTGATACAGGCTATGGTCTTTGCAATCACTTGCTATGCATCAGAGAGCTGGACAATGACTAGGGAGGATAGAAGGACAATTGATGCCTTTGAGCTGTGGTGCTGGAGAAGAGTATTGGACTGCTAAGAAAATGAACAGGCTCATCCAGGAGAGGGTTAAACCGGGCTGTTCCTTGGAGTAAAGGATTCTGAAGCTTCACCTGAAATGTTTTGGACATGTTGCAAGGAGGGATCAGTCCTTGGAGAGGGATATCATACTTGGGAGGGTGGAGGGACAGCGCAGGAGAGGAAGGCCCTCTATGAGGTGGATTGATTCAGTAACTGGATTAATGGGGGTGAGGGTGTTGGAGACAGTGAGACTGACACAGGACAGAGCAGAGTTTAGGGCTGTTGTATTGTACACAGGGTCGCTATGAGTTGCAGGCAACTCGACCGCATATAACAACCACCACATATTCATAGGGAATAATGATTACCTGCTATTATACCATACTATGTACCAATCTCTAATAGGGAGAAAAACACCACAGTATATACAACGATAACATAGTTTCACTGCCTTCTGCAAAAGCAACGGATTTAAACTCTTAGCTGAAACGCCACACTTAATCAGGATTTCAGCAAAAAATGTCTTCATTTATGTTAAAAACATTAATGATTGTTGGGGAAAAAAAATTGGTTACTAACCTTGCTGAAGAGGCTGAGTGTTTGTACTGGGGTTCTGACTAACTGGCTGGGTGGAGCTACTGGCTGTTGTGGCAGTAACAAGTCGAACATAATGAAACTTGCTTCCAGGCACTTGAATCTGCTGGACATTGGGAGCAGTTGCCAGAGGAATAATTGTCTTAAACTGTGATGTGCTCACGCCGCCAACAGTGATGGTCTGCACAGATGATTTCACTGCCTATTAAACAACACAACATGGCTATCATTAATCTAGGATTTAACCTTCCTATTCTTTTTGTCTTATGACATTGCTCAAATAAAAAATTTTCTTCTCCTACTTCATTAAGAGCTGTTAAAAGAAACAACCTGTTCAAAGAAAAAATGACAAGAATGGTCACGAACATAGGAGTAAAGTTGAAATTACTACTGTGAACATGAGCTCCGGCACCCACCATAGTCCAAGGTGTGTTGTGCTACTAACCAAACCCGAAACAAACATAACAAGTTCCATCTTCTATCTCTAGTTCTTGGCTTCCTTGATATTTCAGATCAGATGACTTGCTAAGAAGAATTGATTCATAAGAACTTACACAGTTTTGCTTTTATTACTTAGATTTTTCAAATGAACAGTGAATTATTTTAAATCTCCTATCACTAAGACTCAATATTGAGAAGGGAAAACACAGGTATTTGGATTTTACTCCTACCCATCAAATTAACTATGACAAAGTTTATATTTACATGTTCTCAAATAGAAAGTGCCCCTGCCCAAAACTCTCTTATCTTACATGTTTATTTAGTCAATTTTGAAAGGCTTCTAATACTTGCCAGGTACAGCGGAACCCACTAACATATAGACAGTACAAAACTGCCTTGATTTGGTTGTCTAGGAAACAAACTATAGTCGGGTGAATCAGATCTGAGCCAATGCATTCATTTTCATAATTTTTAACACATTTCCTTAGTCAGAAAGCAATCTGACTTCTCAGAAAGCTCAATGACACATGAGAGATGTCTTGATATTTGATGTTTAGCCAACATGTAAAAGAAGGACATATAAAATAAAAGCCCAGGTAAGTTTTCTAACTAATTTACAGTTTCTTTTTCTTTAAAAAAAATTATCATCCACATTAATCATGATTATAATCCTCTCTACGCAGCTGATTTAGAATTGACTCAGAGCTGACCACCCAGCAGGTTTTTGGACACTTTACATTACTTGTGGGAACACTGCTCATCTTTCTCCCACAGAGCTGTGGTGCAGTCAAACCTCCAGAGGCACTGCTTTCAGTATTACTTCTGTTGTTCTGTATTGTTGAGTCAGAACCAACCCACAGCCAACTCTCCAGTGGTTTTTCAGAGGCAGTACATCTCACAGGTGGAGAATGCCCATCCTTGTCCATGGAGCTGTTGGTGGATTCAAACTGCATGTCTTTTTGTGTTGACAGTGCAACTCCTTACCACGAAGCTACTAGAACTTCCTTATTATTTGCATAGCAATATAAACTGTTTTCAATCACATATTAACTGAGAGCAAGTATGAAGGTATGTTGAGGTATCCACTATGTGAGCAGTAATTCTTAAAAGAAAAATTCTTAAGAATATGAACAGTTTACAAAAACCTAAAGAGAAGACTGTACTACTATTATTTAGTCTGGAAACGTTATAAGCAATAGGCAAAGGAGAAAATATAAAATAATCCCTATATTACTGTTAGGTCTTACTGCCAATGAGTAAATTCCAACTCATAACAATTCTACAGGGTAAAGGAGAACAGCCCCAAAGGGTTCCTAAGGCTGTAATCTTCATGAAAGCCGATAGCCACACAATCTTCCTGTGCAGTGGCTGGCGGGTTAAATATTTCAGACCTTTCAGTAACAGTCAAACACATTAACTGCTGCACTAAAAAAGGCACCATTAAGCAGATTCAGAGAAAAAGTAGCACCCATACATTAGAAATGAGTTCCATTTCTACATTTGTCTATTAGTGAGATTTGTATGTAGGCTGGAAGTTATGCAGTATACTTTTCCATGCATAAAAATTGTACTTTCAGATATACCAAAACTTTACTTATAATAATAGTCACAATGTTTTGACACACATTGCAAATTTATGCCCATGTTATTACGACTCATTGCTATGTACCTTTAATTTTCAGTATACCAAGCCTTACAAGGTTGGATTGTAACTATCTACACATTTACAATCAAATAATTGCTTAAGAAAATAAAAAAGCTAAAGAAGTCATTGAGTTAAATGTATATACGAAGTTTAAGAAAAGGAATAAAGTGTGTATAAGTAGAACCTACTGAAAAATATGCTATCTGAAATAATTACAGAAAATGGTGTTGAAAAACATAGAACTTAACATGTCAGCTGAAAATGGGGAGGGGAGAATATTACCTAAAGAAAAACACCTCAATGAGCAGAAATAATAGATTAATAATAGATTAATTAACAGGAGCTGCTTAGGGAAGAAATTGGGATTTATCACATAGTTTTGGTATAGAAGGAATGGATATTGGTGACAGTGAATGTAGTTAATATAACTGACCCAAACCCACCGTCCACGAACTGATTTCAACTCATAGCAACTCTGCGAGGCAGAGTAAAACTGCTCCATGGGACTGATAGGGCTGTGAAACAATTAACACCACTGGAGTAAATGTCAAGAAATCAGAAGATATGTTGCACTGGACAAATCTGTAGTCTAGAATTTTTTTAAAGTGCTAAAGAGCAAAGATATCAATTTGAAGACCAAGATATGCCTAAACCAATTGGACAATGAATAAACAAGACTGAAGAAGAACTGATGTTTTTGAATTATTGTGTTGGCAAAGACTGTAACAAAAACTAGCATGCATTTCAAATCAGCGTAGTCCTCAATATGGACTGAAACTCAACATCAAGATGACAAAGATTCTCACCAATGGGCCAACTGGCAGCACCATGATAGATGGAGAAAAGATTGAGGTTGTTAACAATTATAGCTTGCTCAATTCCACAATCAACACTCCTGAAACCAGCAGTCAGGAAATCAAAAGATGAATTACACTGGGAAAATCTGTTGTCAGGGGCCTCTCCACCATGCTGAAAAGCAATGATGGCAGTCTAGAGACTAAGGTGCACCTAATCCAGGCCATGATCTTCACATTTACTAGCTATGCATCAGAGAGCTGGACAATGACTAAGGATTACAGGAGAACTGATGCCTTCAAATTGTGGTGCTGGAGAAGAGTCTTGAACATACCATAGACTGTCAAGAAAATAAATCAATCTGTTTTGGAGCAGGTGAAATTAAGTTTCTCCTTGGAGGCTAGGATTTAGAAGTTTCTTCTCACATACTGTGGGTATGTGGCCACGAGAAACCAGTTCTTGGAGACGGACATTATGCTCAGAAGGGTGGAGGGACAGCACAGGAGAGGATAAGCCTGAAAGAGATGGGCTGATACAGTAACTGAGGCAATGGGGGTTGGTGTGTCGGAATTAGTGAGACTGGCTCAGGACAGAGCAGGGTTCAGAACTGCTGTATATATGGTCACTATGGGTCACAGGAGACTAGATGGCACATAACAAAAACAACAACATTCAATAAATAAACTGAAAATTTGATCCTCCACACTTCATTCTTAAAAATATACTACAAATGTGGGGAGCTCTGGTGGCCTAGTGGCAAGAAGCTTCACTGCAATACCAGAGATATGTGGATTGAATCCACCAGATGCTTTGCCAGAGAAGGAGGGGCCATTTCCTCCTGTACCAGTCAGATCTAATTTGACGGTACACGTACAGAGAAAATAATAAAATTTTTTAAAAAATTTTTAAAAAAGATATATATTACAAATGGATCAAAAATTCAGCCTACAAAACCAAACCAAATAATGACTGGGAAGAAAAACAAATGAGCACTTTTAAATTATTCAAGTAAGGAACACTTGTATAAACCAAGCTCAAAATCTCAAAATTCATAAATGAAAAAACTACTGTGGTTTAAATTAATTCAACATGTGAAATTTCTACAAAGGAAAAAACAGACAACAAGCTAGAGAAATATTAGTAAGCACAGTAATAACAAAGTAATATTGCAAACAGAAACCCTTACACCAATGTTTATGGCAACATTTTTCCACAGTAACTAAAAGATGTAAACAACAGAAATGTCTATCAACACATGAATGGATAAAAAAAATGCAGTATTTATACAATGAAATATTAGTTAGTATTTACATACAAGGCAGCTCTGGTGGCTGAGTAGTTAGGAGTCATGCTGCCAAACCAAAGGCATCTGGTTCAAATCCACCAGCTACTCCACAGGACAGACAATCTCTGCCTTTGAAATTTACAGGCTCTGAAGACCTTCTGGAAGGTCAGCTATGGTTCGTTCAGTTCTGACTCTATTGTACAATATATAATGAAATATTACTCAGTCAAAACATAGTAGCCATAACCAAACATCCTGAGGGAATGAATCACTAGGCCTGGGAACTCCAAAGGGACATCAAAGTCAACTGGCTTACCATGGTTTTGTAAACAGTAAATCTGACTAGTGAATAGCAACTGAAATTTTAAAAGTATACAGAAAAGAAAGGAAAATCCTCATGAACTGACAGAGACTGCAACTATGGGCTTAAGCAAGGTAGAAATATTCACCACAGAGCAGTATAAGGCAAGGTTTCCATATCTTGTTCATAAGTTCCCTTTGAGTCAAACCTGACTCGACTGTACCTAATAACAACTACTCAGTCCTATAGAGAAAAGATGTCCTGTGTATGCTAATATATGAATGAAACTTGGAAACACTGTGAATAGAAAAAGTGGTAAACTGGATGAAGGAAAGGAAATATACACAAAGGTGTTGATCAGTACAGTATTGTTAAGGAAAAGGTGCAGAATGATACAGAAAGTTACAGACTACACAAAGGTAACTTCTGACATTATCAGGAATAACTGACATTAAGCCACAAAAGGGTACATATGTCAATGACTGAGATTACATCCATGATCACACAGGTTTAGAAGATGACACTACTACATGAATTATCTGTGAACACTGTACAGAGACCCATGTAAACAGAAGGGGGGGAATGAAAACTTGTAGCCATAGTCAAACATCTTCCCCCCACCCCTTTCTTTTTAAAACATCTTGAGGTAATGAATCACTGAGTCAGGAAGCTCAGGACCATATACGTGGGCATGTCAAGATCAACTGTCATAATAACAGACAATGTCCTATATAC